TTACTATGATACGACTATGGCTTATTACAGGGGTCTCCAACCTTGGCAACTTGAAGACTTGTGGACTTCAACTCCCAGAGTTCTTGTTCCCAGAACTCTGGGAGTTGACGTCCACAAGTCTTCAAGTTGCCAAGGTTGGAGACCCCTGGCTTATTGTCACTAATTTTCAGGCATTTTTTTCCTTGGCAGCCAGAACATTGCATTATCACAAATGGTGTGTGCTTGGCATCCAAACTTCCTTATGCCGTATTCAAGACATGAAGTGAAATTGACTGCTAATAGTTTAATAATGAGCATGCGGGAAAGTGGCACCAAGATCAGCTAATAAGTGTTGCAAAGTCAGAATGCCTTCCTTGAGTTCCTTAGCAGTTCAAAGACTGTAGAACCTGAAGAAGTGGACAGGATTCTCCATAGTTTGAATTCTGCAACCCTATGGGCTTAACCCCTGTTCTTTCAGCCTCCAGAATCGGAATAGAGCGGGAAGGGACCTTGGAGGTCTTCTAGTCCAGCCTCCTGTTCAAGCAGATCCTATACCATGAGCCTAGTTCACTTGTTCAGCATGAGCCTTGTTCTCTTAACTTCTAGTTGTATTCCCAGGCAGAAAAGAATCAGGGCTATATATTAAGTTTCAGTTCAGAATATTTATTACTCAAGCCTATATCCAAGAATCTAATCAACTAAAAGTAAAGGGAAAAGTTCCCCTCGCACATATGTGCTAGTCGTTCCCGACTCTAGGGGGCGGTGCTCCTCTCCGTTTCAAAGCCGAAGAGCCAGCGCTGTCCGAAGACGTCTCCGTGGTCATGTGGCAGCATGACTCAACGTCAAAGGCGCACAGAACGCTGTTACCTTCCCTATTTTTCTACTTGCATTTTTTCACGTGCTTTCGAACTGCTAGGTTGGCAGAAGCTGGGACAAGGAACGGGAGCTCACCCCGTTATGTGGCAGTAGGGACTCGAACCACTGAACTGCCGACCTTTCAATCGACAAGCTCAGCGTCCTAGCCACTGAGCCACCCCTGTCCGTTTAGCCAACTAAAGTTGAGCACTAAATGGGCTCCAGGTAAGGGTCTGTGCCATTCCAGGTGGCTTGGACTTAAAACCATTTGTGGTAACGTAACGAGTCTAGGCTGATGACTCATTTTAATTCCGCCACCCAGCTCTGCCTGATCTTCTCCTAACGGGTATAGTTTTTCCAATTTTGGTTATTCTGCTGTTGTCGATCTGATTTCATTAGTCATTGGATAAGGCACCAGTCTCGCTGAATCACCACACTGCCAGCTTCATCATCTGCTGATTTGAAGAGATAGCAACACACCGGAGGGCTGACGGAACCTATGTCGGAATGAGATCCAGGGCTCTACGTTCCCGCTTCTAATCAATCTGACCAAAGGACAAGGACCAAGGCATTTGTAGGGTTCTTGAAACATAAAGAGATTCCCAGAAGAAGCTGCCTTCTTCCACTTAAAATAAAAAGCCAGTGCACTGTGATCGTGAGCAGGAGAGGCTGGTCTCCATGGAAATGATTTATATATCGGTACCCAAACAGTGCTCTTAAAGCAATGAGAACCCTTTGGATGGAGGGCGATAGTAGTCTTGTTGAACGCTATAGGCAAGGATAACCACTACTCTTGACATTTCAACATGTGATATTTGAGGGGCTGCAATAAAGAAGAGGGGGAGGGGTCAACTTATTTTCCAAAGCACCTGAAGACAACGGATGGAAACGGAACAAAGAGAACTAAGGAGAAACTTCGTGACAGTAAGGACAATTAACATGTGGAACAGCTTGCCTTCCGATGTTGTGGGTGCTCCCAACACTTGGAGGCTTTTAAGAAGGGACTGGACAGTTTGTCTAAAATCGTCGAGGGCACGGCAACCTTAAACACTCCAAGACCCATTTGGGCCTGTTTCCCAAACAAAAGAAAACACCGGGAGCCACAAAACCCTTCCTGTGCCTGACTATTTCCTGAGTGACCACAAAACGAGCTTATGTCAGCAACCCGCAGCTCTGGAACTGTATGTGGCTCTTTCATCCCTCTGTTGTGGCTCCGTCGCTCAAAATATGAGTCACAACCGCCAATGTGCGACACTCGCCGGCACACGATTTATTGAGCTTTTCGACTTCCGGCATGCCAAGCATGGATAAACCCAAGAAAAGAAAAGTTTCAGAAGAAAACAGAATGTTTAATTCAACTACATATGCTAGTTTTGTGGCCACTCAGGAAATAGTCAGGGTTTTGTGGCTCCCGGTGTTTTCTTTTGTTTGGGAAACAGGTCCAAATGGCTCTTGGAGTGTTTAAGGTTGCCGCCTGCTAGCATAAAGTTTGGCAACAAGGGCAACTACTTAGGCATGCAGCAAAACCAGAATTGGTTGTTTAGAACGTAGCGTTAGATCTGCCTTGGTGCGATTCTCCTCCACGGAAGGTCTCTTTCCCCACGAGGTTAACTTTCTTAAGTTTGGCAAGGCCAACAACCCGGGATGATCCGGAACCGAAGAAGGAAAAGGCCATCTGGATCGATCTCGGATGGAGACCAGCTAGGTCCTGCGATCGAAGTGGGAATTCAACCAAGGAGGAAAAGTGGCGTGTATTGTGCATGGCGTTTACAGATGGGCATATTCATCCCCTGTGCCGGCTGTTGGGAGAGACTGTGGGGCTTCGAGCATCGCAGCGATGGAAAAGCTGGGATTCTGAGCATATGCTGTCGTTTTCGGTTGCCATGGTGATCGTGCATAAAAGGGAGAGCCGTCGCAAGGCAGTGTGATCTAGTGAGTTAAGCGCCAAGGCAAACGAGGCTAAGTACCCTCAGCTTTAAATCCCTGCTCTTCGCTCGCTCATGGTGACCTTGGGGGGAGGTGGGAGAGGGAGAGGTCCCTGCCCCTTTGGCGATCCATTTAGAATGCAAGATCTATGAATAGCTTTGTTGTGGGGGTGTTTTGACAGGATTAGCCAGCATTTGTGAAAATCCTATCATTGGCTGCCCGTGAAATCTTTCCGGAGAAACTCCCCAGTTAGTTTCTCCCGGGGAATCAGCCCCTTCTCCCCGTAACTTTAAAGGTAGCTTGGTGCGGGGAGCGGGAAACACCCTTCTTCCCCCAGTGATGCACTAAAAAGGTCAGAGTTCACGACTCACCTGTCGCCTCCCCTCCACCGCTGGAGACAGCGGTGCAGGAAGAGGAGCTTCTACTTCAGCCTAAACCCAGCCAAGCAGACGGGTGCTTTCAGGTGTAATTTGGCAGGTGGGAGTGAGCCAGGGGTCTTCCTTTTCCTCCGTTTTCAGGAAAGGAGGCAGGGATGGCAAGCCAGCAGTACGTTGTGGCCCGCCAGCGGCCTGCGCGGATCATGGCTGATCCCGATGAAGAGGAGGCTGGTGTGGTGTTGCGCCAGCAGCCTGCACAGCCAGCGCCCGCATCAGACAGCGAGGAGGCTGAAGAGGATGCGGTGCCAGAGGCAGAGACTCAGCCAGGGCCTTCAGAACCTCCAGAGGCTCCTTCCAGTGGAGAGAATGAAGTGGAGGAGCCTCTCCTCAATGCTTGAGCACGCAGGGCTGCCAAAAGGCAGGAGTGGCTACTCAGGAGGAGGAGATCTCCTTGAGAGTAAGGTTTGAGGATAATTGGCCACTCCCTTAGCCTATTTAAGTCACACGCCGTTAGTAAGTATCTTGCTGGAAACAACTTGTAATTATCATCAGAATATTTTGGTTTATCATATCTTGTTTTCTGGGCTGGTTGCCAATCTTTGCCGGTCTTGTTTATTCTTGTTACTTAATAAATTTGATAAGGACCGTTGGTGTGTGTCAATATCCTTGGAAATCCGGAGCTGGGGCAGAACACAGTAGAAACGCAGAAGGTTCTCACACACACACACACACACACACACACACACACACACACACACACACAGTGTGATGGAATCTAACTGTCAACCCTGAAGCTGGCCTGGCCGAGGCCATCTAGGAGGCTTCAAGTGTTGCTGAGGTAGAGGGAGGTGGGGAATAGATAGCTGGGGTGTTGTAGCCAAAACAAAATACTTTCTCCTGGGAACCAAGGTCATTCCCACAGGCGGTCGCGAGAGAGGAGTGAAGTTACCAGGCAAACAGATGAGACCTCAATTGGCCCATGTGACTAGTTGGTTGGGGAAGGAGGAAAACTTTTATTTTTAATTAGATGAAAACCGCGGGAACGTTCATAGAGTCGGTTTTCACCAGCCTGTGCCAATATGATATATCCAATAAAACTGTTGAGGAATTTACCTGCCTCAGAGTTTATTCATTTATTTATTGGTTCGATTTATATGCCGCCCTTCTCTGGAGACTCAGGGTGGCTTACAATGCGTTAAGCAATAGCCTTCATACTTTTGTATATACCTGCTTAGTAGGGCTTTCGCCCCCCCCCCCCAAGCGGTGTTCTTTTTTGTACAAAGTCAGCTTATTACCCCCACAATCTGGGTCCTCATTTTACCTACCTCGGAAGGATGGAAGGCTGAGTCAACCTTGAGCCTGGTGAGATTTGAACTCGCAGTAATTGCAGGCAGCTGGCAGCTAAGTGCTACTTTAACAGCACTTTAGTCCTCTGCACCACCAAGGCTCTTGTTATGGGTGTATTACTTGGAACCCTAACACTTTCAAGTTGTCTAGTAAATTTATTTTCTGGCAACGATGTTGATGAAAACATAAAAAAAAAAAATCTGCCTTTGCTTCCAATCGTTGCAATCGTTTGGCTAGGAGTCGTGTCCCAGATCACAACTTTTCCATGGGGTTTTCATAACAGTAGCTATATAGAAGGCTGAACGTTTGTCTTGCCTTCCAGCGATTTCAATGAGAAACCTTAGGCAAGACTCAACTGGTGTCCTAACAAATCATTTTGAAATAAATTTTTTTTAAAAAACCCTGATTCCAATCCCAAGTATTAAAATTCCGCATGGGTGTTTTCTCAAGGTGAGGTAGGATGGCTAAAACAGATGCGATACACGTTTCTAAAGGATTCCTATTCTGTCCCTCCAGGTTGTGTATTACACCGAAATGTACAAAATCTTTGGCGAATTAACCGAACAGATTGACGAACCCGACTTAACCGACGAGCAGAGAGAAAAAGAGAGCGAAGCCAAGCTCAACGAGTTGAGGGCCCTCTCCATTGTGGCTGATGACTGACTTCCAGCTTCTATGAATCCTTTGTGGTGACAGCTGCCAATGAAGTGGATGAAGACAGGAAGCTGAACATGAAGTGAATGAAGACAGGAAGCTGAACATTACTTCTGAAGGCTTGAACCCTTTAAAGCAGGGGTCTCCAACCTTGGCCACTTGAAGACTTGTGGACTTCAACTCCCAGAGTTCCTCTGCTGAGGAACTCTGGGAGTTGAAGTCCACAAGTCTTCAAGTGGCCAAGATTGGAGACCCCTGCTTTAAAGCCATGTTGGTACCTGTTTTAATCTGGAACGTTGTTATTTGCTGCAGCTCTTTAAATCCTGAACGTCTTTTATCTCTTATTAATGACAACATGGTAAGATTCTCATACTGAGTCCTGCGCTAAGAGGTTTGTGGAGTTTGAAAAATTGGAAGAATTTACCCTTAAAAACGATAAGCGAACAAGCTTTTTAATTCAGTCTTTCCGAAATCAGGGTCCATCTGACAGCTGAATTGTGAGTGGTATCCTCAGTGAGTGTAGTTACCCCCTCAAAAAAATATTATTACCGGTAACCTAATTTTTTTTTTAATTTGATTTATATGCCACCCTTCTCCGGAGACTCAGGGCGGCTTACAGTGCGTTAAGCAATAGCCTTCATTCTTTTGTATATTTATACAAAGTCAGCTTATTGCCCCCACAAACTGGGTCCTCAATTTACCTACCTTAGAAAGGATGGAAGGCTGAATCAACCTTGAGCCTGGGGAGATTCGAACTTGCAGTAATTGCAGGCAGCTGAATGTTAATAACAGGCTATTAGTCTGCTGCGCCACCAGGCTCTTGCTAATTGGCTAATTTTTTTTTACTTCCGATGTTTAAAGAATGTCATCATTGCACTGAAGCCTCGTTCGGTGAGAGGCCCCTTGTCTGGTTTGTGTCTTTGTGGCATTGAAAGCTGTCTCAAAAATAATGGCATCCTTTAAAAACGGATTGGTATAGTAGCTTAATCCTACTGAATGTAATATACCATATTTTTCAGAGTATAAAACAAACCTTTTTCCTCCCTAAAAGAGGGTGAAAATCTGGATGCATCTTATACACTGAATGTAGCCCCACCCAGCCTCTGAAATGGAGGTTTCAGAGGCTGATAAAAGCCTTGGAAACCTCCGTTTGAGAGGCTGGAAAAAGCCTCTGAAACCTCCGTTTGAGAGGCTGAAAAAAAGCCTCTGAAACAGGGTTTTCAGAGGCTGAAAAAAGCCACGGAAACCTCCATTTGAGAGGCTGAAAAAAAGCCTCTAAAACGGGGGTCAGAGGCTGAAAAAAAGCCTCTGAAACCTCTGTTTGAGAGGCTGGAAAAAGCCTCTGAAACCTCCGTTTGAGAGGCTGAAAAAAAGCCTCAAAAGTGTTTTCAGAGGCTGAAAAAAAGCCATGGAAACCTCCATTTGAGAGGCTGAAAAAAAGCCTCTAAAACGGGGGTTTCAGAGGCTGAAAAAAAGCCCTCTGAAACCTCTGTTTGAGAGGCTGGAAAAAGCCTCTGAAACCTCTGTTTGAGAGGCTGGAAAAAGCCTCTGAAACCTCCGTTTGAGAGGCTGAAAAAAAAGCCACGGAAACCTCCATTTGAAAGACTGAAAAAAAAAGGCAAGGGACAGAGCTCATAACCAACAAACCTGTTACTAAAGTTCACCTCTGGGAACAGCTGATTGGGGGTATTCCGGGAGGCCAATCCACTGCCAATCAGCTTTTTTCTTATTTTCCTCCCCAAAAACTAAGGTGCGTCTTATAGCCTGAAAAATACAGTAATTCTTATGAGCATAAATCATGATTTTCAAAGAACAGGAAAGGACACAGATTATACTTTCCCTTGATACAATCTACATGAATATTATATCTCGCACTGTGCAGGTTTCTATGGAAGTGCACCACTAGTGAAATGTTATTTACAGAGAAAACCGTCTGCTTCCATGGCACGTTGGTGAAATCCTTTGGCCATCATATGCAGGTGGCTGCGATTTAAACTAATCAATATTCTTCTTATTGGTGGTGGTTAGCCAGGAATGCCAGTATTCCTTTATCTTTCTGGACTAACTCCTGGTTTGTTTGTACTGGTGCCTCCCAACTGTTGTCTTGCCTGTCTTTAATTATGATTAATGAAAATATTGTAGATGATTCTTTTGGTTCTTCTGTAACCCATACTTCTAATTTTATTTTTTCAAAAAAAAAAAAAACCAAAACTTTAGTGGATTATTTGACTCTTTCCCTCTGTGTGTGAGAGTGGAGCTGCACCCGTTACGGATTACCGATGCGTGGAAAAGCTGCCTAATTAATTTTGCAAAGCTGTTTGAAGGCAGCCGAAAATAACTTCACATTCTCTGTTTAAGTCACATTATATACATTTTAAGAGTTGAGGTACGGGCAACGTTTTATTAATTATGGTCAAACTCAACCACTCTCGTAAACATGAACACAAAACAGTCCCAAAGTTTTGTACTGCATTGGCTTTTCTTCCCCATACTGGTAAAGCAAACGACACCATAGCATGGTCTCAAATATTATCCCAAAGGTGTTTTTTTTAGGAGGCAACTGGACTTCCTGGTTTTTTTTCTTTTGAAGACGTTTCGCTTCTCATCCAAGAAGCTTCCTCAGCTCTGAGTAGTGGATGGAGGGGAATGGAAGGATTGATATTCCTTGCAGACAGCTGGTCATTTGCATCCTTTTAGAGGGTCCTTGAAGCACTTGGAGGTTTATCTGTGTCCTCAGGGTCACCCGTGTAGTGTTCCTGAATGGTGGGAGAGTAGGAATGGATTTCCAGAGGGAAAATTGCAGACTACAGGAACCAGACTACAGGTGTTGGTTATCACTTTTAAAGCGCTCCATGGCATAGGGCCTAGCTATCTTCGAGACCGCCTGCTGCTACCGACGGCCTCCCATCGACCCGTGCGCTCCCACAGACAGGGCCTCCTCAGGGTGCCATCAGCCAAACAATGTAGGCTGGTGACCCCCAAGGGGAGGGCCTTCTCTGTGGGGGCACCTACCTCTGGAATCAGCTGCCCCCAGAGATAAGGAGAATCCAAGACCTCAGCGCCTTCCGCCGTGCCCTTAAAACCCACTTTTTCCAGCAAGCCGGGCTGGCTTAAGAAGAAATTTTAAATGTTTTAATTGGTTTGTATTTTTAATTTTGGGCCAAATTTATATATATATTAATTGTTTTTTAATGTTTGTATTTCATGTTCTTAATTCTGGCTGTACACCGCCCTGAGTCCTCAGGGAGAATGGCGGTATATAAATTGGAAATAAAATAAAATAAAAATAAAATAAATTTGCACCACTCAGGTGACCCTGAGGACACAGATAAACCTCCGAGGCTTCAAGGACCCTCTAAAAGGATGCAAATGACCAGCTGTCTGCAAGGAATATAAATCCTTCCATTCCCGCCATCTAGTCAGAGCTGAAGAAGCTTCTTGGATGAGAAGCGAAACGTCTTCGAAACAAAACCCCAGGAAGTCCAGTTACCTCCTGAAAAGAGACAACCATGACCTAGATGACTGAGAAGCTCTACAGAGTTCTCAAATATTGCCTCCCTGAATCAAACCAAGCAACCCCCTTGAGCCAACAGCCGGCCAGCTGCGTGCGTGGAATGAAAGGCCGCCCGAGAGCTGCGCCTGGGTACAAAACAAAAAGAAGAGGCAGAGCTCGTTTCCAAGTGAGGAAGAGACTTTTATAAAAGTAACTTGGCCAGTTAAATACAAGTTGTTACCACATTTACAGACTAAAAGCAACACATTCAGAAGTGACAGACCACCTGAGGGTGGGGGAGCAGGTGGCCTGGGCAAATGCAGCGAGTAACCTACTGGAGGGGGGGGGCCTGAGCCCGGCCACTGCTTTGCATGGGCCCACCCGCTACTCTGCTAAAGTCTACACCGGGGGAGGACCCATGGCCTCCAGCTGTCCCAGCCCTCCAGCTGTGCGCTATGCCTTCCCAATGGAAGTTCAACGGACCGCAGGCTCCTCCCGCTGCCAAAATCCCAGATCCGCCGAATTTTGGCGGAAGGCCAGTGATGAAAACTCAGTGGGTCCCGGAGCAAGTAAATGACATGGGGTTGAGGAGGAGGAGGAGGGTCTCGCGGTGTTTATTTTTCCTTAAAATGGGCAAAACTGCTGGACCAAGTTATGCACGGTGTTGGCGCTCGAGCCACAGCACCAGAGCAGAGCTCGCGAGCCGCCCTGAATGCACGAGCCAGAAAAGGCAAGAGGCAGGAGCTGCTGGCCTAGAGCTAGTGGATAAAAGCTTGCCGACCGCGAGGAGGTCGTTGCCGTTTCTTTCCCCCTCCCCCCAAGGCACCAGCTGGCCCAGCGTCCCCTCAAGCTGGACGTAGAGGGGACGGAAAGTGGAGGGGGGGGCTTAAAAACGTCTCCATGCAGCGGCACAAAGAGGCTAGCAATGCCTGGTCTTCTGGCGCCAATCAGGACCTGCACGGCTCTCGGTAAGGAGCTAACATTCCCAGTCCAAGACTCGCTGTTGGCCAACAGCCCGAAATACCTAACCTGTAGCTTCTCTCCTCGCACGCGAGACCATCAAAATGCCTACCTAACGGATATTCCTTTAAACAAGAAGGGGAGGGGGGTGGTTCCAGCAGATGAAACTGTGGTCTCCTAGTCATGCAGGACTAGGGACCCTTTCCCTCCCCGAAGCCTGGGGTGAGGGGGGTGGTCGAGGATGAAAACGAGCGGCAGCCTTTCACGTAAGTGGCCAAAAAGTTGACGGTTTCAAAGGCTTAACTCCCCCCCCCCAACCGCTTAACTCACAGCCCCAAAATATCAAACGAAGTTGTACTGATCTTCCCTGCCAAGATGGTCTTCCTTCTCTAGGGAGCATCAGTTGCTGGAAACCGAGGGCGACGTAGCTTCCTTCTTCTCTAAGCAGTTATTGGTCTGAAAGGGAACCAACGGAAAATAGGGAGAGAGGACACGGAGGAGAGAAAGAGGGTGAACGATCTGCAACCTGGCAAGTCAACCCGACTGGCGAGATTTCCTGACAATCAGAGCGATGGCCCGCCTCCGGAAGTTACGGACGCGCCATCGTTGGAAATCTTCAAGAGGAGATTGGACAACCCATTTGTCCAGGATGGTACAGGGCTTCCTGCTTGAGCAGGAGGTTGGACTAGAAGACCTCCAGGGTCCCTTCCCATTCTGTTATTTTATATTCTAACCCAATCAGTTTTGTCTTGAAGCTACTATAAATATCTTGCCATGCTTTTCTTAACCATAATCCTTGATCGTGGACCAATTCTGGACACACTAAACCAGGGATGGCTAACCTTTTTGCCATCACGTGCCAAAAGCGGGGGGAGCGCGTGTGTGTGCCCACACCCATAATTCTATGCGCCCTGCTCCCCTGTGCATGCGCGCGTGACCCACTCGCACTCCCCCCACTTTTCGCACATAATGGCACAGAGAAGGCCCGTTTTTTGCCCTCCCCAGGCTCCAGAGGCTTTCTAGGAGCCTGGAGAGGGCGAAAATGGCCTTCCCTACCCCCACCCACCCCCCGGAGGCCAGAAATGACCCATTTGCCGACTTCCGGTGGGACAGGAACGCCCATTTTTTTGTTTTTAATTTGATTTATATGCTGCCCTTCTCCGGAGACTCAGGGCGGCTTACAATGCGCTAAGCAATAGCCTTCATCCTTTTGTATGTTTTATACAAAGTCAGCTTATTGCCCCCACAAACTGGGTCCTCAATTTACCTACCTTAGAAAGGATGGAAGGCTGAGTCAACCTTGAACCTTGCCGAGATTTGAACCTGCAGTAATTGCAGGCAGCTGGTCTAACCAGCTTAATAACAGGGTGCCTTAGACCACTGTACTACCAAGGCTCCAAGGTTTTTTGCTCTCCCTGGGCTCCAGAGCCTTTCTAGGAGCCTGGGGAGGGCGAAAACAGCCTTCCCCACCACTACCCCTCCCCGGAGGCCCTCCAGAGGCTGGAAACAGCCTGTTTCTCTATTTCTAGTAGGCCCGAAAATTGGCTGGTTGGCGTGCACATGTGCGCCGGAGCTGAGCTTACATGCCCACCGATATGGCTCCACGTGCCACCTGTGGCACGCGTGCCATAGGTTCGCCATCACGGCACTAAACTGTATTAGTCAAAATCTTTGTTTAGAGCACTGACTGAACTGATTATCTATACGTTCCATGCAGACACATGATGCAGCATAATTTCAGGCACAACTGGAGAAAGGCTGTGATTGAAAAGTTCCCGCTCCCAAACCCCTTGGAAGACAGATTTTCATCTCTTTATCCCTCTTCTGTTGAGAGGCTATTTTAAAAAGAGATCAATCTCATAGTTGATTTTTCAGCTGCAGTGTGAAAAAACTTCGAGGCTTCTCTACAGGTGGAAATTCGCTCTCGGACAAAGGTGCACAGAGGGGAGAAAACATGAGCAGCAGGCCTAAAATCCTGGTTCCCCCCCATTTGGCATCCTTTGGTCTCCCCCAAACAATGTTGCAAAGCAAGGCACCAACTCAATCTACCGTATTTTTCGGAGTATAAGACACACCTTTTCCCCCCTAAAAGGGGGTGAAAATTTAGGTGCGTCTTATACACCGAATGTAACCCCGCCGACCCATTGGCCCCCCACCCTTTGGCCTCTGCCTCCCAGCAGTTTACCTCTTTGCAGCAAGCAGAAACAGACCATTTCAGCTTCAGCACAGCCTAATTAGCACAAGTTGATTGGATAGGCCTCCCGACTCTCAGCTGTTTTGCGCTCAGCTGTTTTGCACAGGGCTCTGCTGCTTGCTGCAAGGAGGTAAATTGCTGGGAGCGGGTTTTTTTTTTTTTTCTTGTGCTAATCAAGCTATGCTGAAAACGAAAATGAAAGTAAAGCAGGCTTTATTTTCCTAAGGTGCCTCTTATACTCCGAAAAATAAACCAAAAGTTTATTTCCCGGCATACGCATTGGCCCCTGGGCAGTTCCGGGTTACCTCCTCAACGAGCGTACGCACGCGCTCCCTTTTTGGCACTCAATGCCAAAAGGGTTCGCCATCATTGGCCTAGGACAGGAGTCAGCAATCTGCGGCTCTGGAGCCACATGTGGCTCTTTTATCCCTCTGCTGCAGCTCCCTGTCGCTGGTCTGCTCCACAATTGATAGGGCTTTTGGTTAGGGCAGGTAGAGGAAAAAGGATGCCGCATTAGGAGAAGACTCTATGGTGGGGAAACTGGACTTCCGGTCGGCTCCAGAATTGAATGGAGGGCTTCCGGTTAGGACTTTTGTGGCTCTTTGAGTGCTTAAGGTTGCCAATTCCTGGCCTAGGAGTTTCTGGTTTAGCCCTCTCAGCAGATGTCCACTTCTAGATCTATCAAGCCATAACTGCTTGAAGATCCAATACTCCAGATTTACTATAAAAGCCCCACTGGGTTCGATTGTCAGCTTTACCTTCTCTATTATCTTCTGGATTTCCAACTGCAAAGGAACCAGGCGTTTCTTATTCTCCTGTAGCAGCCTTTGAAAATGGGATTTTTGCTTTTCGGATGCTTTTGACTGCTCTTCCACCTCAGTCAGGCGCTTCTGTAATTCCTGCACTTCCAGCGTCAAAGCCTTGTTGGAAGTCTCGGTGGATGAGAAGCGAAGCTGGGTCTCTTCTGCGGGTGCGGTCGGTGGAAATGGTTTTCCAAGCCAAAAGTTAACAAGAGATGAGAGAGGTATAAGCTCCTAGTCAGAACAAGGGAGAGCCAAAATTGGCAGTATCTCATTGGAGGGGAACCTATTTATGTAAGGGCCAATTACGGTAATCTGTAATTACGGTAATTACGGAATCTGCAAAGGGGCAGATTTCAGGGGAGGAACCTTTGACGTTCACAATTCCTAGGTACATTTTCTAAACCTCTGGATAGTATTTTAAATGCATGGGCCTGCCTGTTGTCTGCCATCCTCTGTATGCTTCCATCTAGGGGTGAAATCCAGCAGGTTCTGGAGAACTGGTAGCGGAAATTTTGAGTAGTTTGGAGAACCGGCAAATACCACCTCTGGCTGGCCCCACAGTGCGGTGGGAATGGAGATTTTGCAATATCCTTCCCCCAGGAGTGCGGAGGGAATGGAGATTTTACAATATCCTTCCCCTGCCATGCCCACCAAGCCACGCCCACAGAACCGGTAGTAAAAAAAAATTGAATTCCACCACTGCCTCCATCCCTTTCTTTGTAAGCCGCCTAGAGTCGCTGTGAGCGAGTAGGCGGCTACATAAAATTTCTAAATCAATCAATCAATCTCCATTTTCTGGATGTTCATGCAGGTAGAAGCATAAGCCACCTGTTTCAATTCCCCTAAAGGAGTCCCACTACTTTTTCATTCCACATTCGCTGCCCAGAATGGCAATTTAGTTCTTGCTCAGGAAGCCGTTCAATTCTACGAGGGGTACGTAATGTTTGGTACCCCTTGCACGCAAACAAGACTACGCCCGATAAATACAATATTTTGGGCTTGAGTCCTGCTTTCGTATATAACAGGGGTCAGCAACCTATAGCTCTGGAGCCACATGTGGCTCTTTCATCCCTCTGTTGTGGCTCCGTGTCACCAGTCGGCGCCACAATTTTAAGAGGACCTTCTAGTTTTGGGGGGGGGGAAGCACGGCTCACCAGGAGGAGACTCTATGGCAAGGGGCAGGTTTTCCGGTCAGCTCCACAATTGATAGGGCTTTCAGTTAGGACAGGAAAAAGGACGCCGCGCTAGAAGGAGACTCTATGCTGGGGGAACCGGACTTCCAGTCAGCTCCAGAATTGAACGGGGGGCTTCCAGTTAGGAACTTTGTGGTTGTGTTTTTTTTTTCTGTGGGAAATGGGTCCAAATGGCTCTTTGAGTGTTTAAAGTTGCCAATGCCTGGTATATAACAAGAGTTATCAGAATTAAGCTGCAAAATTCCACATGACCACTGGGTGGCAGCAAATACTTTAAAGTTTAAAGCACATCTCTCTGCTGCCATTCGCTGGTCACCCAGATATTAGCAGACCAAATCTGGTTAATCCAGAACATATAGCTTATCGAACGAAGCAGTTCCTTCATTGGTACAGATGGTCATCAAGGTGAACTGCCAGGAATCACGGTGGCTGGTTGTAGATGAAATCTTAATTAAATTAAATTAAATTAAATTGAAACTATCAAGCCTCCCCCGCAAGCACTCACCCAATTTTAGCTCCAGGGTATGGATTTTATTTTCCAGGTAGAGTCGGCTGTTTTCTGTTTGCTCTGCCTTTTCCAGGAGTTTGCTCACGTTAAGGACAGCTCCATTGTACGGAATCAAATTGGTAGACTGAGCTTCTCGGGTAGATTTGGTAAAAGGGACCGATGAGCGCAAGAAACGAAGGTTGCCTGCAAGAACGAAGTAGCATTTATCCTGCTTAACAATCAAGAACACCTTGATTTGGGGAACGGCGAGAAAAAAGGGCAAAAAACATATGAATTCCATTGCCGCCATTCCCGCTGAAGTATTATTCTCTTCCTCAGCAACTGACCGATCCTGAGAAAAAAATTATGCTTTCCAAAAGTGAGCCGCATTTCAATGGGAGGAGATCCTGTGAAGGAAATCCTCACATACCTGGAATACAGGTAAGTCCTCGGCTTACGACCACAATTTGAGCCCCCAAATTTTCTTGCTAAGCAAGACAGCCGCCAATGAATTCTACCCACCCACCCATCCCGCGTTACAACTTTTCTTGTCCCTGTTGTTAAGTGAATCGGACTTTCCCCATTGACTTGGCTCGTTCAGAAAGTCGCAAAGGGGGAAATCACGTGACACCCCCCCCCCGGGGACACTGCGCCCGTCATAAATATGAGTCGGTTGCCAAGCGTTTTGAATTTTGATCACGTGACCAGACGGGGATGCTGCCACGGTCACGAGCCTGAAAAAAAAGGGTCGTTAAGTCGCTTTGTTCAGTGTCGTCGTAACTTTGAACGGTCACTAAATGAAAGTCAAGGACTACCTGTATTTTGTTGGGAGGAGACAAAAATGTTAAGACACACCCCCCGACACTCCATCCAGACCTCCTCCTGGCATACAGAGGGCTCAATGAAACCCGTAGCTGAACTGGAACGAGCCTAACTTAGAAAGCAAGCTACAGGGGCATCCCATCCCTAATGCCCCATAAAGTCCCTTCCCACCCCATACCTGCAACTCACCTGACAATTCTTCCTCTCCGAGGCCTGCCTCTGTCCCTTCCTGCCGGTTGTAGCGCAGGCTGCGGTAACGGCACACAAACTGAGTCACCACCCTGTTCACCAAGCGTTTCACCTACCAGCAGATGGAGACACCCCCTTAGGAGTGGCCCTGAGAAACCCCCGTGCCCACGGTCCGGAGGGGCAGAGGCCAACTCATTCCAAATCGCCAACGGAACCCAGCAAGACGCTCACCTGCTCTTTACAGAGGTGCAGTCCCAAAGTGAGGAGGATCTTGTCCATATCCTTCCTATGCAGGTAGCCACAGAAATTCAAGTCGAAGTATATGAAGGCAAGGAGGGCATCCAAGGGCAACACAGTACTTGGGTCCAGCTCTCTGGGCTAAGCGTGGTATATATAGTAAAAAAAAAAAAGGGGGGGGGGAGGGAAGGAAAGGGGGGCAGTTTCACTCCATGCTCTATTTCACTGGTCCAGAAATAGCAACAGCACTTAGATTTATATACCGCTTCATAGAGCTTTCCAGCCCTCTCTAAGCAGTTTACAGAATAGAATAGAATAGAATAGAATAGAATAGAATAGAATAGAAAATAGAATAGAATAGAATAGAAGAA